GATATATAGATATATAGATATACATTTATTCGCACATTGTTCTTTTCATGTTCTAATCACAGCAGTAGCTTGATCCGTCACTGATCAGTCACATATATTTATTAACCATGCAGCACGAACTTAGCGTTATCATCAGCAAAGGAAGTTACCTTGAAGTGTTCACGGTCGGTGAGGATGGATTGGATGCGTTTCTGAATGTGAACATCTACGGTCGAATCGCCATTCTGAAGCTGTTCCGTCCCCTTGTAAGTGTGTATGTGGGAATGAGAAGCTGTATATATATTTGGGGCCGTATACTCGTTTTGTCTATACTGCATTCGAAGACTTCCTAATATTTGCAGATAAAAATTTAATTTTATGTAGAATATGCAGTTGTACTTTTGTTCAGAGATTCAAATTCGTGCGTCTGTAGGGTGTACAGCTGCACATTTCTTTAAGATTTATACTTTACTTGCTGAGATATGAACTGTTGTTCGTTCTGTGGCGAGTTGGGTTTGATATCCAAATGAATGTCGGCGAAAGAGATGTGACAAGTTGAGAACGGTTAGATCATGTGTGAATAGTGCAGTGTGCTGTGAGTGTAACATGCATTCCTCTACACCGATGTAGTCAAAGCACCTGTTACGCTCGAATTCGGTTGGCAATCAAACTAAATAAGCGAAGTGTATTGTACAGCATTGGTTTGTCGCTTGATTATACACCGGAGGTTGGCATCCATATAAGAGCACCGAATACGGCGTTTGCGAACAAACAGGCAGGCAACAGAATCTGTTATATATATTGTCACCTGGCGACGTATGCCTCAAATGGTAGTGTGCGGGTACTATAGGTCTGGCTGACATACTGCTCGTACTGATGATACGGCATATACACGTGTTCCGCAGAGCACGAAGTACGAGACGTGTACTCTAATCATATGGTAAACGTATTTGTCTCACACAGCACGAGAAAAAGGATCTGCTTCTGATTGTAACGGAGAACTACCAATTTTGTGTGGTCAAATACGACGAGGCAAGCAAGGAGATCAAAACACATGCCACGGGCGATGTGAGGGTATGTCAAAAGATTGTTAATGTGTTTAGAACGCACGCACTCAAGAATAGGGCAAACGTAAAATTACATCTACAAGATGCTCACCCAGCATGATATAGCGCACAATCTTGGCTATTTAAAAAAAAATACCCACTCGTAGCTGAAATCAGTACACATCACCCAAACGCTGTTTTCAGGGAATAAAAGTCTCAGAAAAGGGTAGACATGAAATTATTTTATCGTTTCTGACACTCTCAGGACCGTGTGGGTAGGCCGGCAGACGCAGGCATCCTCGGATTGATTGATCCCTTGTGTCGCATGATTGGGTTGCGCATGTACAATGGCGTGTTCAAGGTGATCCCAGTAAGCAAGAAAGGCCATTTTGACACTGCATACAACGTCCGTTTGGAGGAGATTGGAATCATTGATATCGTATTCCTGCATGGGTGAGTACATATATATATGTATATATATATATGTATATCTATCTATATATATATATATATATATA